AGGTCGGCAGTTCAAAATTACCAGCTGTTCTGCGGGAGAAAGATGAGGCTTTTTGCTCCCGTAAAGATTTACAGCTTCGGAAACCCTGTGCAGGGTTGCTATGAGTTGGAACCAACTCCACGGCACATAACAACAACATATGTCAAAACTTAAATATTTGGTATTCATTATGTTATAGGAAGTTCATTATTATACGTTAAGTTCGTTCTTTTAATTAATGTGTCCACAAAAAAGATAGTAGTTATGAGAAAATCAAACAGTTAAGTCCAAATGAGGAAATTTTTTAAAAAAGAAAACACGAAATTAGAGCTCTGATCTATCTATGTAGTAGAACTACTTAATATTCTTAAATGTATCAATAAAGAATACAAATACTATTCTTAATAGTTATAACTTGAATAAAACCAAAAGTTGCTCTATGAAATGAACCTGTTATAAAGTTTAAGTTCTCATTTTACTGGTATATTTTCTAACTGTACTTACTTGCTGTTTCAATACCAGGTTCTTCACTCCTTCCATCACAAACTGTGATCCTGTATTCATGACTCGTGATAAGAGACTAGGAGCAGAGAAGTGAAGGAAGACCACAATAAGTAAAATTGACCTCTCCAAGCCTGATTATATCAAAAGAAACATGCTGATGCTCAGTGTACTACCTTTGTTTTTACTTAACAGAAGGACTTTGGGAATTTCTGCTTCCATGGATCTTACTGCTGTAGTTTTACTTAACAATAAAATAGCAATAGAATACTCAATCATCATTAATAAAATAGAAAAACAAGAACTTTCTCTAAAATAAACATTTTAATGGCTGAGCCTTCACTACAAATTTAGCCAAATTATAACTTGGGAAGAATTTCTTGCACCCAGGTTGCCTTACTGCTAAAACAGTATTAAAGATAGTTCAAATTACTTGCTTTAGGAGTTAAAAACACACTAACATGTTGGAAATATATATGCTTACGTTGATGTTGTTCAATACCACTGAGTCAGTTCTAACTCATAGTGACCACTTATATAGGGTTTCCCAGGAGTGATGGTGGATTTGAACCGCCAATCATGTGGTTAGCAATCCAGTGTTTACCCTACAGCATCACACCAGGATGCCATATATGCCTATATGTTTTATGAATTGGTCAAATGTTACTGTGTTTTACATCAAGGCAAGAAAAGTCAGCCCATCAGGGAAAACCCCCATCTAGAACTGAAACTTAAAGGGAACCTATGCGCAGTCTAGTATGTTTGTTGATGACCATGTAGGTCTATTTGTGTGTGGGTGGGGGGAAAATGCAACAATGATGAAATGGGCTGAGTTTGGCCATGTTCCATTGACACACACTGACATTGAAATGAGAGAGAAAAGAGAAAGGGGTTGCTGGTCTGAAGTTTAGGGAGATGTGTGAACTCTTGAGCCTATAGGCATTAACGCAGCCCCTGGGGGCTAGGGCTGAGAGTGAAGAGGCCAGCTGGTCTGAAGTGCAGGGAGGTGCACATGAACTCCCAAGCTTGCATCTAGTACCCATTTGACCTAGCTTAGATGGCTAGCTGATCAGCACTTGACCAGATGAAGATAAAGACGTTTAATACTGTCAGCAAGTGTAAATTGCTGCAATTTGATGAACTGGACTTTTGCTTATGGATGCAAGTTGCTCAAAATTCCAACTGAAATGGAAAGATTCTTCATATCAAGGAACAAGATTGTTTACTCAGTGTACTGGGCTTAAAGGGATGGGCAACTTACATACAATAAAAAATGGGGTCTGTAAAG